TGGGTAGTAGTAGCGGTGGGGGCTGGACTCCTCCACCTCATCTCAAAAAACTTAATACTACAAGCATGTAGACTGAATAAGTGGTGAGTGGACACAACCCTGACACATACCTTCTCTGATTTTAAACCATGAAGTTTTCCTTTGTTCTGTTTGTACAACCTCTAGATCCCTGGAGAAAGACATCATGGTAGGGATAAATGGCAGGGGCAGCGAGAAAGAGAAAAAGTCCCTCAACAAAATGGATTGACACAGTGGCTGCAACAGTGGGCTCCAACCTAAGAATGGTTGTGAGGATGGCGCGGGAGTAGGCAGTGTTTTGCTCTTTTGTACATAGGGTTGCTATGAGTCACAACCAACTGGACAATACCTAACAACATGGGGCAGTTCTACTCTGTCGTCTAGGGCTACTATGTGTCCGTATATATGCAAATCCTAAAACCAAACCCACTGCCATCAGGCCGCTTCTGATTGATAGCAAGCATTTAGGGCAGGAGAAAGCTGCCTCTCTGGGTTTCTGAAACGGTAACTCTTTACAGGAGTAGATAGCCCCTTTCTCCTGTAGAGTAGCTGGTGGTTTTGAGCTGCTGACCTTGCAGTTAGCAGCCCAACTAGTAACTACTACCCCACCAGGGCTCCTTAGGCAACAGTAAACAGCAGTGTACTATTAATCAGTTTGAAGAGTCTTAATTATTTTAAAATTGGACAAAATTTATTTTAAATTCAATGTACCAAACTTACTTCACTAAGACAAGCTGGCTGAGGGCAATATAATGGAGGAGCTGGAAGATACAAGCCGGCTGGCACTAAGCCCCAAAGTCTCTTACTGAAGTCCTTGGCAGAGCTGATCAAAAGCTGAAATGTGTCTGAGAGAATATCTGCGTCAGCCATCACTGCTGCTTTCAGGACTTCTTGCACTGACCCACAGAGATGATTTGCGTCTTCCTCCTCAATGGGATCTACCAAATACAAAATTCGGTACAACAGTTGAAAATTATATTCTACTTCACATCCTGTTTTGTAGGATAACATTTCAAATTTGAAAAAGTTAATAAAAATGGGTCACACTTGTTAACATGAAAAGCATTAAACTTAAAGGCGGAAAAGTATGAAATATTCTTGTTACCTTAAGTTTACAGGCAATCAGAGCTTGAGATCTCTGCCCTTAAGAACCATGCAAGAGATTTAAAAAAAAAAAAATTTTTTTTCAAAATAAACAATAACATCTTAAAAAAAAAAACACCATGCAAGATATTGTAATAACAAGGAATAAAAACATTTTGTCCAGAGTCAAAAAGTAATAATAAAAGATGAAAAAAATATCAATGGGAAAAAGTCAAGTGACCAAAAGAATTCAAAATATATGTGAAGGTAATAGTGGAAGTAACTTTTTTCCTTTTCTGAAGAGTCTCTGATAATACTTTATAATAACAAACATCCATCAAGACAAATTATAATGCAGAGCTAATAAAACATAATAACACAAGATAGTGTCGTATGGCTATGGTTATGTAAACACTATGTGTGGACACATGCTAGAAGGTAAGATGCAAGCAGATGTAAGGTGGTGGGTCAGAAGATTTATAGTTTTTCCCTGTTATGAACTATCTTACATATTCAGTAAAGTAAGAATAGGGAAATACTCATGTACTTACTTCTCGGCTTTGTTCAAATACTAATATTTTCCTATGTTGTAGACTTAAACAATTACCACCAATATAATATAGCTGAACTTCCCTGTGTACCAATCACATGCTATTCTCTGTCCCCAGAGGTGGTCACCACTCAGAATTTGATGTGAATATACTGGAATTCCCTGAGACTTCCTGTCTTCCTTAATGAAATTTAACTTATTCAAATTTTCCAACTCTTTATATTTTGTATAGTTTGCTCAAATCCAATTCACTAATGCTCTCAAATTGCTTGATCTAATACTTATCTACTGAGGTTTTTATTGGTTGTACATCAGTACCGAGGTATAGTTTACATACAAGTCCTCCCTTTTAAGTTTGCAGTGCACCAAGTTTGACAGCTCTATACACTCCTAGAAGAAAACCTCCATCATCCCCAAGACTTCTCTATGCCCATTTGTAGTCAATTGTACCCTTTATCCCCAGACGACCGCTGATCTGTTTCCTGGTTAAATATCTTGGCTTTCTTATAGAATGTCATGCAAATGAAATCAAGCAGTAGAAACTCTTTGCTCATAGCTTCTTTCTATAGAAGAATGGCTCTGAATTGATCCATATTGCTGCATGCTACCAGATGTTTGCTCATCATTATGTATTATTCCTTCATTAGAGAGTGCAGGTGGCATTGTGCAATAAGCTTTGGGCTGCTAACTCTAAGTTTGATGAGTTCAAATCAGCCAGCTGCTCTGTAGGAAAGATTTACAGTCTTGGTTATCCTACAGAGGGTTGCTCTGAGTTCAAATCTGAAAAAGTTGTTAAGAATGGGCATGCTTGTTAATATGAAAAACACCAATCTGACAAACAGAAACAGGCTGGATTTGATTTTGTTTGGTTTAGAAAGATGTATTTCAATTTGTCTATCTAGTAATGAGGTGACAGATATTTGGCTTATTTCTACTTGAAGGCTGTTAGGGAAAAGGTGCTATGAACATTCATGCACAGGTCTTTTTTGGGCTGATGTTGTCATTTCCCTTTAGTAACCTTTTATTTTTCCCTTTTGTTTCTGACTGGCAAGCCTTTAAGATAGTATTTTAAGATGTTTATTGTTTTTATATTTATTGTGAAGGCGCTTTTAGATCATTGAAATATATTGCAAATATGTTGCCAGAAAGAGAAGTTCAATTTGGGGATTTCTGAATCCTTTTGTCAAAGCCAGCATCCATGTTTTTATGTTATCTTTTCATTAAGCAAAATACTTTTTAAGAGCACCTGGACATGAAGTCTTAATACATACAATCAAGATGCTGAGGGAAATCCCACTTGTATGAAATACCTGGAATGTATAGAAACCAAAGGTCATCACTGGTTTTCTAGGAGCAGGAGGAGAAAAAAGCAAAAAGTAACTGTTTAGAGAGCAATGAGTTAAGGAGAGTAAAAAATTTGGAAATAATGGTTATACAATATGATGAATGTAATTAATGTCAATAAATTGTAAGTGTAAAAATGGTTGAAATGGGAAACTGATTTGTATAATTAACTATAATAAAAATGAAAAAGAATAAAAAAACTGGAAGGAATAATTCTTAAGAAAAGCATATAGTTTGAAAGAGAAGCTATGGTTAATGAATTCTAAGAGTATATAGTTGTACAACTTCAATACTTAGGTGACTGGAAACTAATTACACGAACCATGTCAAGAAGGCTCGCTTTAAATGCCCACCAGAGTCTCTATAGTAAAGTTCTTGTTCTATCATTAAATATATGACTTTTAATAGCTAACTTGTTTTTGTCTCAATCTGCCCATCTGTAAAACAAATATTACTATGCTTGTGGGTAAATATATGTAATACATGTAACAGTATATATTTAAAATTTTATAATGCCTCTATAAACTTTTCAAATAAAAATAAAAACAAAATACTTCTGTGTTAATGGGAGGAACACTTTAAAAGGACAATGGGAATCATGCAACTTAAAGAACATAATCAATATCACTAAATTGGACATGTAGAAATTGTTGAATTGGTGTAAGATTTGAAATATACATATATATTTCAACAAAAAAGTCAACTATTTTTTAAATTATCTTTAAGATTTTATGCAATAGCAAGAATTAGACTAAATTACTTATTACCCACTGTATGTGATATTTGTGTGTGTGTACAGATACACACACACACACACACACACACACACAGAGGGCTTCAAGTCATGGGAAAATTCCATTATCTTTTTATTCCATTTCTCTATGAGCTTTCTAAAGCCCCTACATACATGCATATATGTGTGTGTATATAGATATATAGATATAAAAACAAACTCACTGCCATCAAGTCAATGTAGACTCATAGCAACCCCTCTGGGTTTCTGAGACTGTAACTGTTTAGGAAAATAGAAAGCCCAGTCTTTCTTTCTTGGAGTAGCTGGTGGTCTTGAATTTACTAATCATGCAGATCACAGCTGGGAAACCACCAGGACTCCTCATATATATGTGTGTGTGTGTGTAGTATAGAACTTATATATATATCAAATGCAGCAAAATGCACATTATCTAATACATACACATCATCATCTAAAGGTATGTTCTCTTACAGAAGGGTTTCGAGGAGGAGATGAGGGAGAGTGCGATGTAGCAACAATGAAACATACAACTTTCCTCTAGTTCCTAAATGCTTCCT